ACCCAGACCATTTTGTGATTCTATGAAATAGGGTTGGATACAGCAGGGCTTATAGCTGAGATTCCATGGATAGCCAAACAAGAGCAGCTGTGCTGTAGGGGCTGTTCCAGCTGCTCTATGGCTGTGCCCTGGATGCAAGAATGCTGCTCCCACGCTGAGCAGAGCTCCCGAGGTGCATCAGTGAAGGCAAAGCTGGACCAGTCAGATCCAAGCAGGAGGGTGAGGGCATGGGAACATTTCCTCCCCTCGCATTTGGCTTGTTTTTGTTGGCAGAGCTCCTCTGAAGCTCCTGTGTGACAATATGAAGTACCAGATCCTCTCCCGGGCTTTCTATGGTTGTGAGTACTTGTTGCATCTGTGGTGCCTTGGGATGTATGCTGGGCAAGGGACAACGTTCTGGGCTCAGGGCAGAGTGGTGCTGAGGCAGCAGGATGGTGGGGACCAGGACCAGCCTGTTGCATGTATGGCTCCACGTTCACATGCTCAGAATTGGGAGCAGACAGCTGAATTCTGGTCTGAGGATCAGCCTGCAGCCCAGCAAGCATCAGGGCTGGTGGGAAGAGACAATGAAATGCCAGCTTGTCCCAGCAGGCTTGAGAGGATCTTCTCCAAGGACTGATCAGAGCTGACCCCAGCACTTCACCCTTCATCCTTAGTTCTCAAGGGTGAGTTTTTGCTTCTGCTTGTTGCAGGGCTGGCCTACTGCAGACACCTCTCCACAGTGCGAACCCACCTCTCTGCACTGGTTAACCACAGCATCGTGTCTCCCGACGTGCCCTGCAATGCTAGCTCAGGACTGACTGTGGACATATGGCAGAAATACCTGGAGGACAGCACGGTAGGGCCAGTGCTATCAGGACACTCTCCTGGGGCGCAGTGGCACGGTGGTACCCTTGGGTAGCTTTGGTGGGCTACCTGTGGTGAGCCAGTAGTTCCCAAAATACCCATCTGCAGGGGCTTCTGGCTCTGCTTAAGCCCAACTGGGGATCTGAGAGGGCTTTTTAGTGGATGAGCGTGTGGTGGTCAGCATCTTGGCAGTGCTCTGGGTGCTGGAGGTGGCCAGGTTGGGGCAGTGCTTTGCATCCACAGCCCTGCCTGTATCTGTGCTGACGTGGAGCTCTTCACGCAGAGTTATGAGGACCAGGAGCTGCTGCGCCTGATCTACTACGGTGGGATCCAGCACGAGATCAGGAAGGCTGTCTGGCCCTTCCTTTTGGGCCATTATCAGTTTGGGATGACAGAAGCAGAAAGGAAAGAGGTTGGTATGAGCGCGCTGCCAGCTCTGCAGCCTGGTGCATTGCACTGGTGTGCCTGTGGTGATTTCCAGCTCCAAGCATCCACGTGCCTGCCAGAGCCCACACCATTCAGAGACCCTTTGTCCCACTGCTGCAGGCTGATGACCAGATCCGCACCTGCTACGAGCACACCATGGCAGAGTGGTTGGGCTGTGAGGCCATCGTCCGGCAGAGGGAGAAGGAGTCTCACGCAGCAGCTCTGGCCAAGTGTTCCTCTGGGGCCAGCCTGGATTCCCACATCCAGAGGATGATGCACAGGGACTCAACGATCAGCAATGAGGTGAGAGTGCGGAGGCTCAGGTGGGCTGTCAGCATGCAGCAGGGCACTGGCAGCTTGCAGCCGGTGGGTCCCGGCAGAGGGCAGCAGCCTCAGTCCTGTGGAGCATCCCTTGGTGTTCCTGGGGTCTGTGTGCTGCAGGAGAAGGGCAGGGAGGGCTCTGTGCCAGGGATGACACAGAGCAGGAGTGGGCTGTGGGTTGGCACTGCTGCGGCTCTGCGAATCGTTCCCATCCTTGTAGCATCTCCGCTGTGGTTCTGGCTTTGTGCTCACTGCACGGGGAACGAGTGCTGGGAGGGGAGCTGGCTGTTAATACATGCCAAACTTCACCCTTTTCCCATCTTAATCTGAAATTTCCTGTTATAAAACGCTCCCATGGTAATGGAGGAAAGCTGTCGCCCTTCCTCTCGCTGCCGGAGCCTCACAGTGTTAGGGTGGGGACAGCTGAAAGCAGTGTGTTTTCTTAAAACCCCATTGTTTCGGTGTGATGTCATTGCCATGCTCTGTACACCCAGATCTGCGTGCAGCAGCTGTGGGCTCCAGCCATCAGACAGAGGCTCAGAGGAAACCTGTGGGGCAAAGCCCTGAGCTGCTCAATGCAGAGCCCAGCGTGTCCTTCACCTGGGAGCCAGAGAATGGTGCTGTTGGCTTCTGGAGGTGCTGCCTCGATGGAGTCTGGTTTAAGACATCAATGCTTGTCCTTTTCTTAAAGGAAAACAAACATTAATATGCTTCGAGGGATTGTTTTATAGCCCGTGACTTCATCGTTTATGTAAACTGAGACGGGGTGAGTCGCTTTGCTGCCAAATTAGGACAGAGATTAGTAGAAATTTGCACTCTGAGGAGACAGCGTGACCTCTGTGGAGGCCCAAAGAGAGCAGTTCGGTTCAGACCCAAACACACAGCTCTTGAACTGCTGCGTTGGCTTAGATGTTGGCTTGTGGAAGGTTGAGGCTGGGTGAGACAGATCTGACATAGTTCAAATAGGAGACTTTATTGCGTGCGTTTTTACCTTCCTCTTTACCTGCAGAAGTGCCCACCTCTGGCAGCATGGTGCAAATGTCTCCCCTCCTCCCAGACCCACAGCCCTTTGCTATTTCAGTGCTTTCTCTCCCTCTTGCAGTCCTCGCAGAGCTGCAGCTCCGGCCGACAGAATCACGTCCGGCTGCAAAGCGACTCCAGCTCCAGCACGCAGGTGAGCAGCAGACCTCACACAGGAGGGCCTTTGGCTGCTCCATGTGTTAGTAATGTGTTTAATCAGTTGGTTTAAATGACGTTCTGCCCTATAGATTGCACTGAGTAAAGTGTAGTTCTTGGGAGCGGGGAGTTGAGGGTCTGGGTTGTGCAAAGGCAAACACTGACCTGCCAAGGGCAAACAGGGAGCCTGAGGGTGAGGACATCTCCAGGGGGGTTGTCCCATCCCTGTGCCCAGGAATTCCTCCATGCAGGTGTTTGAGTCGGTTGATGAGGTGGAGCAGACGGAAGCAGACACTCAGCTCGAAGATGGCAAACAAAGCAAGATCCCCAATGGGACCGTCCCCAACGGCACGTGCTCCCCTGATTCGGGCCACCCCTCTTCCCAGAACTTCTCCATCACTTCGGGCTTCTCGGAGCGCAGCTTCAGCAATGAGGACAGCGCTCTGGAAACCACCAAGTCCTCAGCCAGCTCACAGGGGAGGGCAGGCGGTTCAGAGCCGGCTCCGCAGGATCTGGATGGAGCCCTGCAGGAGGAAAAGCTGCAGGGCCAGGACAGCCTGGAAGGCGAATTTCCCACTGGTGGAGGCATGGACTTCATTTCTGTGGCTGAGAGCTCGGCAGCGGTCCTGCGTGGTTGTGATGCTGTGGCACTGACAGTGGTGGAGAGCTGGGCAGACAGCGAAGCTGAAAAGCAAAGCTTGGTGGAGAGTGAGGATAACCTCTCTGAGGAGCCAGAGATGGAGAGCTTGTACCCACAGCTGGACTCGCTGGCTGTGGCTGATCTGGCCAACAGCGAAGCATCTCCCGTCTCCTCAACTGGTGTCACCTACTCTGTAAGTATTGGTCACTGCTGGCTTTCCTTACGAGCCTCACACCATTTACCTGCGATTGCCCCGTGCTAATCCAGCAGCTGTGTGCACAGGGGCTGTCCAGCTTCTGCCCCAACCTGCCACCTTGCTCCTTTGCATTTACACCTTCTGTTGTTTCTTCTTTGGAAACAAATCAATTTTGGCACTGTTTTGGCAGCCGGAGCTGCTGGACATGTACACAGTGAACCTGCATCGCATCGAGAAGGACGTGCAGCGGTGCGACCGCAACTACTGGTACTTCACCCCCAGCAACCTGGAGAAGCTCCGCAACATCATGTGCAGGTGGGAGCGGGGTTGGGGTGTGGGCCAGGCCATGTGGGGTGCTGGGCAGGCTGTGAGCACAGCCTGGGCCAAACTGAGGGCTCCCTGGGGTCCACTGAATGCAGTGCAGCCCGCCTGCTGTGGGGGATGAACCTGGAAAATTAAGCATGAGGATCAGCCCACAAAACTCTGGTGCTAATGAGGAGTACCTGAAACAACACAGTGGTTCATGCCTACGCAAGGAGACAGGAGTACCTGGGTGTGTTTCTGATTCTCTTTGCTTATCCCCGTGACTAAGAGGTTGCTGTGTGACATTCACCGACTCAGAGCAGCTCCAGCTCAGCTGCTGTGACTGCTGCAGGGGCAGTGGAGGCTAAAACATCATTACTCATATTGCAAATATGAGGAGAAGCTGCTGTTTCATTAGAGCTGTCGCTTTATCTGGCAGCCAGAGCTGGAGATCTCTGTTGAGATGAGACCTGCGATGCAGCAGGATTTGGAAGACTAGGGGGCAGGGTGGAAAGGATTGTTTCTCTGTGCCAGCAGTGGATCGGAATCCTTTCTGAACACATTTTGTCTTGCTACCAAATATGGGAAGATATCTCTGCAGGGCTGATCGCTTCCTGGGATGCTCGGCCCAGGGAAGCAGAGCAGGCAGTGTCCCTTTGGCGTTCCCCCAGCCAAGGGGATGAATCAAGGGGCAGGGTGAGAATGGGAGATAAGTGCACAAACTCTGCCCTTTGCCCAGGCACTGCGCCTTGCTGTGCTTTCTGCTTTCACTTTTCCCTGCACCCATCCCCATGCAGCAGTCTTTGCATGGTGTCGATCTAGTGCTGTACCGTGCATGACTTCCCTGAAAGTCACCACGGGAACTTAATCATTTACAGGCCAGCTGCAGGGGAGCAGAGCATGGGTGTAATGGAACAAACATGTCTGATATGCCCCAAATGCCCGCGCCCATGGGCTGGTGGCAGCTTGCAGAGCATGCCAGCATGTGAAGAACGAAGGCAGGGCACATGCCAGCAGGCAGTGGCACTGGTGTGTGGGACAGGGGCTGATGCTGCCTTTCCTTCTCTCTCCCAGCTACATCTGGCAGCACATTGAGATTGGCTACGTGCAGGGGATGTGTGACCTGCTGGCTCCTCTCCTGGTTATCCTGGATGATGGTGAGTGGAGGGCTCTTTCCCCTCCCCAGCACTGTGGTGGGGGTGTGAGAGAGTCTGCTGGGTTACCCCTGCTGTGCCTTCCTGGCTCTGTGCGTGTGGAGTGGGAGTGATGCTCCTTTCCCTGCATGGGGCAGCTGTGGTGACGTGTATGGGAACAGTGACCATCTCTCCTCCCTGTGCAGAGGCCCTGGCCTTCAGCTGTTTCACTGAGCTCATGAAAAGGATGAATCAGAATTTCCCCCACGGCGGAGCCATGGACACTCACTTTGCCAACATGAGATCCCTGATCCAGGTAAGGTGGTCCTGGCTTGGGTTCGACAGCCTCTTCTGTTCTTGGGATGGGGGCTGAGAAGGGGCTGCTGTGGGGAGCAGGAGAGGAGCAGGGGGCTGTAAGGAGAGCCTGGGAATAACCTGTGCCAGGGCTGCAAAGGAGGGTGAAGGTGTGAAACAAAGATATGGGAGGAGAGCAATGGGAGCAGGGAGAGGAACGCTGGTGTCTCTGGTGTGTACTGATGGATTTCCTTTGGCTTTTCTTGGCAGATTCTGGACTCTGAGCTCTTTGAGCTGATGCACCAGAATGGTGATTACACCCATTTCTACTTCTGCTACCGATGGTTTCTCCTGGACTTCAAGAGAGGTGTGTGCAGGGAGAGGGACAGCTGAGACCAGTGAAGGAAGGTTGAAAGCAGGGTTTGCCACATGTTCCTGCTTTGCTTCTCCCTGCTAGGATTGTGGCTGACTTTTCTGTCTAGATCAGAACCTGTTGCACCAGAGCCACTGGTGAGCCTCCAGCAGGTTTATGTCCTGCAGTCTATCCCACCTGCTGCAGGCCGGAATGTTTGTCTGCAGATGACTGACTTGTTCTTTGGAACAGGTTGTTGTGGGAAGAAACCACTGGCACATCTTCCCCAGTGAATGCTGCTGTGAGTCAGGCTGATGGAAGGCTGTGGCTGATGTGTGACCGTTGGGCTTTTCCTCTCCTTACAGAGCTGGTGTATGATGATGTGTTCGCCGTCTGGGAGACCATCTGGGCAGCTGCACACGTTTCCTCTGCACACTATGTGCTCTTCATAGCCCTGGCTTTGGTGGAAATGTACCGGGACATCATCTTGGAGAACAACATGGATTTTACAGACATCATCAAGTTTTTCAATGGTATGGTTTGTATTCTGCTGGGCTGAATTTGTGGCAGCTGCTCAGATGTAGGCAACACGTCTGGCTGACTGTAGACAGTCATGTCCTGACTGTGCTGTTGAAAAAGAACAGTGTATGTTGTGTGATGCTGATATTTGGAACATGGTGGTAAAGGGATCTCTTGCTTCTGAGGGGTTCAAACGATGCCTGGGGAGCCGTCCTTGGCCACAGCCTATATTACCTGTGCTTGAAGGCAGCTGTGAGCATAGGTTGTGCTTCCTGCAGGCTCACAGTGAGGTGAGCTCCTTAACAATAGCCCTTCAGAGTCAGGAGTCCACAAGGGGACTTGGCTGTGAATTCACAGCTGCTGCCTGGAGCTTGGCTGTGGGGCAGAAGAGGACCTGGGGGAGCTCTTCAAATTGCTGGGCAGCTCGGGTGTAGCCTGTATGTGGGTTCCTTCTGTCTGTGTTCCAGAAATGGCCGAGCGGCACAACACCAAGCAGATCTTGAAGCTGGCTCGAGACCTTGTGTACAAAGTGCAGACTCTGATCGAGAACAAGTGAAGGACCTGGGGAAGACGAGGCATCCAGACAGAGAGCTGGGACTCCCCTCCAATGCTTCCTCTCCCTTTTTCTTGATGTGCCACACCTGTGGAAGTGAGGTAGTTGGACACACGCTGCTGTCTGAACTGGCAGCTCTGCAAGTGCTGTGCTCAGCATTACGGCCGGGGGCTGCGGTCCAGATCTGCACAACGTTCTCCAATGACTTAACCAAAGATCTGTACAATTGTGTTGCATTGCTGAAGACTTGTTTTGGAGGTAGGGCCAGGCAGCTGCTTCCTGGCCCTGCTGCAGTAAAGGTGCAGCACTTGGTTACCACCCCAACTGCAGAAGCAGTTGCCAGCATCCCAGGTCAGCGCTGGGGGTCTGGGAGAGCAGGGCTGCCAGACCTGCTGGGGGCCAACCCAGGCTCTGCAGCCTTTGTTTCGAGGAAATAAAGCTGCTTCCTTCCACGGCCATTGCCCATGGTGTGGGGAATGCAGCCAGCCCTGCGAGCCTGGGCAAGACAGGGATGCTGCCAGCACTCAGTTTCTTACTAACATCTGAGGTTCTGCCAGTAGCAGAGGGGGACTTCGATCACAGAAATTCCTCTTCTTTTGATCTCGTCCCTTGATGCATAGCACCCCTTTTAGTATTTTTAGGGCTCTGTTCTCTCCCTTGGATTTTTACATTGTTTGTTACTACGGTATCTGAGCACACAAGGGTTTTGTCTGCAGATGGATTTTTGGAAGAGCTCCAAATTCAGCATTGGGTTTCTCTTTCAAAATTCAGCCTCTGAACACCAAGATCTGGTCCTGGCCCTGTCTGGGATCTCCAGACACCGGGTTTTTGTACCTGCCTTATTCTAGCTGCTCGTGTTAGGGGTCTGCTCTCCTGCCTGTCCTTCTGCAACCCACATTAGGGGAGAGCTCTTTGGAAGGCGAGTGGGAGCTCCTGACCTAGTGGCTGTCCTGGCTTTCCCTCTGAAGGTGCCTGTTTCTTCCTCTGTTAGCTGAAAGAGTGGCTGCTTACAGCTGAACGGTGCATATGGTCCCTCTGGTGCCTGCAGGTTTCTGTGTGCTTATGGGGCTGCTCAGAAAGCCCCCTGAGCCCATTGAAGGTCTCCAGTTTGGTCGTGGTGGGCTGCTTTCACCCAACGTCTCTGAGTGGTCTTTGCTTTTGGAAGATGCACTGCAGCCACCTTTCCTGCAGTGGCTCTCCAGCATGGCAGCCCTGGAGCACATTGCATGAAGTGCCTCTGTAGCACTGCCAGCATGGGGCTGAGGTCTGTGTCGTGCAATGGCTATGGTGTGGATTTGGATTCATTTCTCAACTCAGGTAAAAAAAAAAAAAAAAAAAGAGGTGTTGGTGATGGGAAGGTCTGGCTCAGCCAGGGAAGGCTTTGCCATGGCCACAGAGGGCTGTCTGGAATGCAGGGGAGATGCTGGGCTGGAGCTCTCTGTAAGGGAGTTTCTCTTGAGTCTTGCTGCAGAAATGTGTGCTCCCCTCCATGTGATGTGTGCGTTCTGCCCTCCGCCCCTCTGTGCAACAGGGCCCTGCTCTTCTGCTGATGCTGGAGTGCTGCTCGCCAGAAGGGAAAAAGGGCCCTTCCCTTCTTCTGTGGAATGTCTGTCTGTGCCGACTGTGCTCTGTAATGACTGATGGCACGTGTTAGATGTTGCTTGCAGAAAAAGGACAGGCAGACAGCTGCAGAGAGAAAACTTGCTTCAGGAAAGTTCTGCGGTGAAGGAGTTTGCAGTGTGAGCAAATCAGCCACAGCCATCCTGCAGTGCTGGGATGCAGAGGTTGCACCAAAATCTGCAGGAGGAAGAGAGCAGCTGCAGGTTTCCATGCCAGTCTCTCACCTTTGCATAGAGCAGAGCTGGATGCCTGTGCCCCTCCCAGATTGTTCCTCTTCTCTCTGGGTCTTGGGATAGATCAGCGTCCGCCTGCATGGCCACTTCCAAAGGGGAAGGGAGTGCTCTACCCCATCCCCTCCAAAGGACAGGAGCCACTATGTGACTTAACATAGTCCTGACAAGCAGCATCGCTGACACTTTATCCTTCATGCTTCTGGTTTTTCCTTTCTTGGTTTTCAAACAAAAACAGCCAAGAAGTTCTGCACAATATTTGCTGTCTGTGTGAACAGAGAGTCTTTGGGCCACTCTTTTTGGTTTTGTTTTTTTTTTTTGAATAACTTATGGGGAAGAAAAGTATTTATTGATTGTACATTCCTGTGTGTCTGTGTGCACTGAAGTGTGTGAGTGTGCGTTGTGATGCAAATGGAGATATATCTTTTCAGTGTTGCTAACATATCTTGTAAATGTTTACCAGAGAATAGTGTCTATATATAATATATATATATATATATATGGTATAGAGAGAAAATATATGAACTAAGTGGGTTATTTTTTGAGAAGGGAGAAGAAATGTGTTGCTTCAAAGAACTGTGTGGTCTCCTTACAGTTGTCCCATACTACACCCCCATCCCTGTGCTGGTGTATGCAGAGGCACTGCTGTCCCCTCACCTTGGCTTGAGTTTAGCTCTGCTTTTCCAACTGTGCATAAGAAGGAAAATAGAGGGAAGCTCTGTTCCAACTCACGTGGGCAGAGCTGTGCAGGGCTATGTCTGCCCTGGGTTAACGTGAGTGCACAACGCAGAGCTGGGCTCTGCTGTGAGTTGCAGAGCAGCTGGATAGTCCAAAGAATACAGCCAGCCAGGTTCTGTGTCAATTGCTACTAAAATCACTCTCCTTTGCAGCTGAGAGGGGAGCAGCCTGCTGCAGGGATGCCTGCCCTTATACAGTCATCCTGTCCGGCTCCTCGGGTGAGGAATTCTCCATCCCAGCAGCACCCTGAGCTGCAGTTCGCCCCATGCGATGGCTGAAAAGCTGAGGGCTGGCCTTGTGCTCCCCAGCTCTGAGCAGCTGCAGTGATGCAGGTTGCATTGCCTGCTGCTGGAGCTCAGCTCCCAGGTGATCCTGGTGCATTTAAGTGCAGTGTTTGGATCCTGGCCTGCTTTCCTGCACCTGAGTGTTTCGGCTGCTAAATAACTCTTAGTACCCATCTCTTTCAGTGTTGCTGATGTGAATGCTATGTGAGTCGTCTTTGTTCTTAAGTGAGTGATTTTTAGAGGAGTTTTGCTGTGTTGGGTGTGTGAATCGCTTTGCTGCTGACATTTTCCATGAGGATTGAGAGAGATTTTTGCCTGGGAGCATCCTGCTGCCTCCCTGTTCTGCTCCCATGCACGATGTCCCTGAACACTCCCACCCACAGCCCTCACTGTACCCGGAGCGTGAAGATCAGCAGTGCTTTTCCCATCCCTAAATCCCATACAGGTGACCAGGAGCAAGGTCACAGAATGAGATATTCTTTCTTCTTTCTTACTTTACTCATGGTTAAGCAGCTGGATGGCCAGTTCTCCTTTCTTCCCCCATTTCTCTGCAGTGGGAGCAACAGTCCCAGGCTCAGTGCTGCAGTTCCCACTGTTCTGCCTATGGCAGAACCTCCTGCTCCACGTGCACACGATGGTTTCATCATAACACTTGTCCAATGTTTTCTCTTCGTTTGGGAATTTTCACTGATCCCAAGCAGTTCTGGGCACGTTATTGTTTGGCATCCTGGTGTTGCATGAGCACCAAGTGGTGGTGGAAGAGCACAATCTGCAGACAGAGCGACAATTTCTGGCAAGGTGGATGTACTGTAAGTCCCACCAGAACCTGATTTCAGAGCTCTATTGTAAAGATGTTCAGATATCCTCAAGCTGATGAAGTGCCACTTAGTGCCATGTGCTGTTTTGGGCACTCAGGTATCCTTGCTCAAGGTCACTGTCCTTGCTGTTTGCACACAGTTTCGATGGGGACACCTGACGTCCCCATGGTCCACCATTTCACTCATCAGGTTTATGTTTATGGCACAGTGGGTCAAAGCTGAAATTGTTTGGGAACTGCAGCTTCCCACAGCTCAGGGTGCTTGGGTTTGTTCTAAGCTGTGGCTGAACCTTGGAAACCCTGTTGGAATAGCTGTCTTGTTCTTTCAGTGTGCTCTAATTTTAGATGAACGATAAGCATATTTCACCTTAAAGTCCAGTTCAACCCTTTAATAACTTCCTTTTAAAAACTGATTTTGCACATGGGGACCGAGCAGGGACAGGCAGAGCTGTGCCTGTGGGTCTGAGAGGGGCTGGGGGCGCAGAGCCCCTGCATGGGGACGGTATGTTGTGTAGGAATGGGAAAATGCTGAACAGGGAAACTCCCAGGAAGGGGAAAACCCACCTGGGTGACACCTTGGGCCCACAGTTGTCACCTCCCTCGTGCTGGGACCCCTGGAGTGTGAATGTCTGAATGGAAGTGGTGTGCCAGTGTCCGACTTCGTGTTGCCCTGCACTGATTGCTGCTTTTCCATGTTGGATGCCATTTTGGTCTCTGGGAGTTGCTCTATCTGAGGTTAACGAGCACTATAGCTTTTAATATATTTGTAGAAGTGCTGCTAATGTTCTTAGATGATTTAAACTCTACACTGTGGTATAATATCTGTTTTATATTATTTTATTCATGCTTTTTTTTTTTTTTTTTTTTTTTTTTTTTTTTTTTTTTTTTTTTTTTTTTTTTTGGTAATGTAAACTGTTCTTTATTGTTGTTCAGAAAGAAAAATTAAAGCTCTATTCTCTATGGTTGATATATTTTCCAATTGCTGAGCCCGGGCTGTCCTTTGTGCTCGTGAGCCCATCCCCATTCCCCATCTGAAGGTGGGGAGGGGGCAGCTGGGTGGGCAGCACAGCAGTTGTAGTGCCTTCCTGCTGCAGGTGAGGGGGTACTGCAGGCATTCAGTGCCCCCCAGCACCCCCACGGCGTTGTGCTCAGACACAGAGTGACAAAATAGGTTTGTATCAGCCTGATTGAGTGTCTCAAGCAGAGCCAACCAAGTCTAAACACACTTCTAAAAATGGGATAGAGGAGAAGGCAAGATCAGGTGCTCGCTCCAGATTCCTGCTTTTACATACTTATGAGAAGAGGCTTAATTAAATAAAACCTGGTATTTAATTAATCCTTAATATGTTTGCTTCTTGGGGCATGTTTGCTCTAATGGCACAGCACCAGTTTTCAGTGCAGGCTTAATTGATTGCAGAACTCACAGCGAAGAACTTCAAAGGCTGACGAAGACGCTCCCCAGACAGGCACAGTTTGGAAACCGTCAGGGTGAGATTCCACCAGTCCTTGTGAATGTGTTAATTACCTGATATTAATTAGCAAGCTGATCACCAGAGACCAGGTCCTCGGTGTGCAAACATGCTCTGCATGCATTGAGAGGAGGGAGAGGCAAACCCCACATTGCTCAGATGGAGGAGAGTAAGCGATCCTATAAGTGAATGCCATTAGTTTTTAATTTTGGATGCTTCCTCCCAAAAGCTGCAGGGGAGCAGCAGCCCCGGAGCAGCATTCCAGGCTGTAGGGGCAGGAACAAAAGGGGATGAGGCTCAGAGCTGCTTTTGGAGCTGCTGCCTGGGTCAGCCCTGGGGTAGAGAGGTTTATTTGAGCCTTTATTTGTTGAGCAAAAGGCACCGAGATACTCGCCTTTATCACTTTGATGAGCAGTGTGCCGTTGTTGGCTGCTGTACAGCAGCTCGGGCTGAGCTCTGAGTCACTCTCCTTCCTGGGAAAACAAAGGCCAACTCCCAGGAACTCTGCTTCCCGTCCTTCCAGCACAGACCCCATTCTGTGTGCTGACAGCAGGCTGGGATGGAGCTGCTCAGCCTCCCAGGCCCTGCAGTGCTGAAGGCTTGTACCAATGCAAAATCTGCACCAGCTGTGCTATGGCTCTGATGCAATAAAACCTCAGTGATGGGGTGACCTCCAACAACTCTTTCTGACTAGAAGAGCATTATGCACACAAATTAAATGCTTGATTATCCTTGTTTTTCTGTCAAGGATTTCTGGCTGTGGCTGCCTACAACTGCAGGATCAGGCAGGCCTGGCAGCCCAAATTCTGCTTTCCTGAGGAAGCATTTGGGGTGTTGAGGGTGGTGACAGCAGGGGCCTATAGGGCTGCACTCTGAAGTGCTGTGGGCATCCTGTGGTGCTTGTTCCCAGACCCAGCAGAAGTGTTTTCAATGCCTGCAGAATGGAAGGGTAACTGGGGCAGGGAGGGATGGTGCCCTTGCTCCTTGCAGCCGCATCATGGGACTGGCGAGGACCTGCAGCATGTGGAGGTGACAGGAGCAAGCTGCTGTCATGCAGTGTCACCTCGATTTACTGCTGTTTCATGACCCCTGCATGCAGGACGCAGTGGTCTGGCACTCACTGCACACGATATGTGCAGTTAACTCATTTCTCCACTGCAGGGCTCTGACAGACTGCGTGAGAGGATGCAGAGTGCTAGAGCAGCCCTGCTGCTGCATGTCGTGCTCTCTGCCATTCGCTGTTCCATGCAGCTTTTCATACCCTGGGAGGTAACTGTGCTGTAGAGAGGAGCAGCAGAGGTATTGCCCACCTGGGAATGAGCCGAGCTGCTGTGAGCCAGCAAATCTGCCTGGCAGAGCCTTCTGTTAGTGCTATGGCAGAGAGTGTTAGTGTTACAGAGATGACAGCTTCTCCAGGCCTGTCATTTCTCCCAAGTATGTGCACTCCTTCACTGTACACTGCTCGCTTATCATTGCACTGACAGTACAGGCAAAAACATAAACCAAAGGTCCAAAGCTCAAACATCTGCAAGCATTGGGTCCGGCAGTGTCTGCTATCGCCATCCACACCACAGTGTGGAATTACAGCTCTAATTTATGTACATGGGGTGACAGAGCAGGGCCCTGCGTTTAACTCTGCCCCTAGATTGCGGTTAACTCCGAATACTGCTGATAAACGCATAGAGGGAAGAGCTGGGAGAGGCTGGAGGCGGGGAGGGAGCATCAGCTCATAGAATGGCTTAGGTTGGAGGCGACCTTAAAGATCAGCTAGTTGCAAAGCAGTGCTGGGGAACACAGCTTTCACCAGCAGCCCTGCGGGTCTTGTGGGCTCTTCTCCATACCAGACCCACACTGCTCCCATAGGGCTGTCCCCAGGCTGTGTGAGGATTGGACACGGCCCCACCAGGGGCTGCTGGGGAGAGCTGTGTGCTCCCACTGCAGCTCTGCATCCTGCAGGTGCAGCCCGGCCTGCTGGGACACGAAGCACAGGGAGTGCTGTGGCTGCTTTGTAGTTCAGCTCCCGGCTCCATGGGCGCGCTGAGGTTCCTCCTCATGGTGGGAAAGGAGGCAGCAGCTCCATGGGAAGGTGTCTGCTCCCCTTGAAGTCGCCCATTTCTATGCAGCCCCAGGGCCTGGTGTGGCCGGCTCGTCTCCAGCAGTGCTGTGGCGTGTGGGTGCTTGCGGA